GCATTATCCATCCCTCATGGATATCACACATTTCCATACATTTATTTTAGCAATAAACACTTAATTTGATATATTTTTATACATGTTTGATAGACCTGGGTAGGCGACATATGGTGGTAGACCTCACGCTATAGTAGCACCAATATAAGTTTAACATAACAGCAAATGTACAACGTTTCGACAAGGTTTTGTCATCATCAGGTACCATTATTAGTCTCAAAGTGCATTCCTCGTCATCGAATTTAAGTTACTAATTATTATTTACACACCTATGTTAATTTAAGTTACTAATTATTATTCACATACACACACCTAAATTAATTGAAGTTACTAATTATTATTCACACAAACACACACCTAAGTTAATTTAAGTTACTAGTTATTATTCACACACACACCTACATTAATTTAAGGGTGCTACTATAGCGTGAGGTCTACCGCCATATGTCGCCTACCCAGGTCTATCAAACATGTATAAAAATGTATCAAATTAAGTGTTTATTGCTAAAATAAATGTATGGAAATGTGTGATATCCATGAGGGATGGATAATGCAGCGGTAGACCTCACGCTATAGTGTGGTAGACCTCATGCTATAGTAGCACCCAATTTAAGTTACTAATTATTATTCACACACACACCTAATTCATTTAAGTTATTAATTATTATTCACACACACCTAAATTAATTTAAGTTACTAATTATTATTCACACAAACACCTAAATTAATTTAATTTACTATATGGTGAGCTGAAAAGGATGCTAAAACTCCATAAATCTAGCTTAACTCTTTAAACCCAAGTGGACGCTAACAGCATCTGGTCAAAAATCCCAATTTATCCACTGGACGGTGACAGCATCCGATACCATTTATGTCTCTTTGGCTGAAAAGTAATTGAAACTATGTTATTATCCACAAAATTAAAAAAATTCAAGTTTTATAAGGTAAGATGATAATTATTGGTGAAAATAATATCACAGGTTTAAAAGAATGAATATAATAGTAAAATGACATCAAAAACAATGTTGCCCAATGAAGGCTCCAGTAAGAGGACCAAAAGCTCGCAAATAAAACTATTTTAACGTAAAGAAAAGTCTGTGTATAATTAATGCTTTTAAGTAGTATGTTAACAAGGATGAACACATATATAAAAGTACAGTAAAACCTGTATGGATATATTCCACACTACCTATACCAAAAAATAGTATTCTGCTCTTTATGGGTAATGTCAAATGATAAAGCTATGCATTACTTTCCTTCTTGGCCGGGTGGTTAGGATGCTCGACTCGCAATCTGAGGGTCGCGGGTTTGAATCCCCGTGACAACAAACATGCTCACCGTTTCAGCCGTGGGGGCATTATAATGTGATGGTCAATCCCACTATTTGTTGGTAAAAGAGTAGCCCAAGAGTTGGCGGTGGGTGGAGATGACTAGCTGCCTTCCCTCTAGTCTTACACTGCTAAATTAGGGACGGCTAGTGCAGATAGCCCTCGTGTAGCTTTGCGCAAAATCCATAACAAAAAACAAAACTTTCTTTCTTTGAAATACAAATAATGACAGCCGTTTCTAAGCTTCTTTTATAGTTTCAAGATCACCATGATGTAATAACACACACAGCTTCAGAGTGGTAGTGAAATGAAAATAAATAATGCTTTTTATTCATTACAAACAATACCTTCCATTTTCAGCGAGAACAGTTCCTTCATTTTTCAGTCTCTGACTTTTACTTTTACAGTCTTCCAGGAGATGAGCTTTGCGGCGTTTAAAACTGTCCAACCAATCCACATCATCAGGAATGTAACATCCTTCATCTTTATTCAAGGAAGCTTCGGTAAACACCTGGGAAACCTCCTTAGAAATCTTCTGTCCAACTTTTCGTTTCCAGCCAAAGCTAGTCATTAGTAAGCCTAACAAATAGAACAAAAATTAGGAGGGATGTGATAAAACACACAAGTATTGTGAAACGTAGTTGTTATCCCACCTCATGGCCTCCTTTCCATCGAAGGCTCCAGCATTTAACACCGTAGCACTGATCATAAAATTTAAAGTTTAGTTACAAAGGTATTTTACTCAACACCAGAAAAGATTTTTTTTCACACACAATTTTAATGTGCTTCTCAGTGTTTAATCAACATGAAAGTTCTACATTAAATTAATTTGGTCTGTAACAATATGCATTAAGGCGGCACATATACTTGTCTAGGGTGAACTTGCATTTTTGAAGATATCTCAATAAAAATGTGTAATCTGATAGAAAGGAACTATATTTGAGATTCAAAAATATATAACTGGTAAAAACTTTCATTAAAATTGAAAACAATTTTTTTTGTACAAAGCAGCAACTGACTTTACCATTAACTAGCTTATATTTACCATAAAATTGGTACTAGTTTTGAACAATGTTCATTAATACTATAACACTGTAAAATAATATATTGTTTACGAATCATTCTATGGTCTTAAAATTTTTTAATAATGTATTATTATATCATTTTTAAAAGGTTGTATTTACGCCATAATTTCTAGAATTAAGACTTTTCCACATGACATATTATAGTTTTAATACCACACTACCCAAAAATTAGTAGTCAAAAGTGGTAGTTATCACTTTATAAAAATCACTAACTAGGCCTCACTAAACATATGGATTACAAGTCAAAAGCGGTAGTTATCACTTTATAAAAATCACTAACTAGGCCTCACTAAACATATGGATTACAAGTCAAATGCGGTAGTTATCTCTTTATACAAATTACTAACTAGGCCTCACTAAACATATAGATTACAAGTCAAAAGAGGTAATTATCTATTTGTACATATCACTGACTAGGTCTCACTTAGATATTGTATACCGTTTTACTCTCCTTGTTTAAAGGAAAGATAATGATTTATTGAAAACTGTTTGGTACAGGGCTACTAGGATGATTACAGAAATGGGGGAGTTATCTTATGGAGATGAATTAGGATCTTTTAACTTAAATTTATTAAAAAAAATGAGGGGTAAGAGGTGATCTTACTGAAATTTACAAGATTACCCAGGTAATCAATAGGATAAAGGCCTCAGATTTCTTTGTGTTATATTCTGAAGTCAATAGGATGAGAGGTTTTAGATTTGAAAAGGACAGGCTAAGATAGTTAAGAAAGTTTTATTTTTCTAACAGGATGACTGGCTTACAGAATGAATTGTTGTAAGTAGTAGAAGAATCCAGAACTTCATAAGAGAATTGATAATAATTTACTGAAAACTAAAGCGAGTTTAAAGTTTTGCTTTTTCTTAAGGATGGTAGTACATGACCAAATGGACCCTCATTGTTGTATGTTCTCAAGGATGGTAGTACATGACTAAATGGACCCTCGTTGTTGTATGTTCTCAAGGATGGTAATACATAACCAAATGGACCCTTGTTATTGTATGTTCTCAAGGATGGTAGTACATGACCAAATGGACTCTCGTTATTGTATGTTCTCAAAGATGGTAATACATGACCAAATGGACCCTCGTTATTGTATGTTCTCAAGGATGGTAGTACATGACCAAATGGACCTTCATTGTTGTATGTTAAGCAAAGAAGAGTCCAGATTAAAGCTCCACGTCCATTTAATGGATAAAGTTTACATCAAAATGCTTGCCACGACCATTATTAATCTTGTATTAAAAAGATGAACATTTAAAATTAGATTTTCACTCTGACTGAAATAAAGTATTCTTTCTTTTGTAATGAATGTAACAATGTGTGTATTTATATTTGTAATGCATATTTATAAAATTTTTATTTCAAATGAATTCTTAAATGTTTATTTTACTTTATTAGTATATCAGTTATTCCTGACAAAGAAGGGTTGACATGGGAATCAAAAGATATAACACTTAATGACAGCAAGGGGCCTGTTGGTCCATCAATGTTGTCCCTTATTAGTTGAGTCTTCTCTTAAATATACTGCATTGACCTCATCAGATTTCCTCTATATATTTTTTTTCCTAGAGAAAACAATTTCAGAGATCTTATCCTGTCGTCATATGACAGCTTTTCCAGGTATGACCCTAATAGCCCACGATTCAATGTCCTTCATAAGGTAAGGAGCACAATACTCCAAATGAGGCCTAACCAGTAACCTATACAATGGAATTATAACCTCTTTAGACTTGTATTCAGTATTTCTGTAGATACAACTTAAAATCCTGTTTGCCCTACCACTAGCAACAGCACACTGCCTGGATGGATTAAGAGACTGATGAACCAGAACAACAAAATCCTTTTCTTTCATGAGGTTATTCTCATCAAAATTATACTTATAATTTAAATAATGATAACCCACATGCATTATCTTATCTTACATTTATTATAATATATTTGTTCAACTGTCCAAGTAATCTAAATCCTTTTCAGACTTTTGTGAAGCAGCAGCATCCTCATCAGAGCCAGCAATGTTCAAAATCATCAGTAAATGTATACAAGTTATTGGCCTTTCATTCATCTATGTTATCAAAAGTCCTAACACTAAGACCTGAGAAACCCCATTTGTAATAATATTCCAGTTTCACAGAACCTCATTTATAAAAACCCTCTGCTTTCTTTTATCTAGCTGTTCTTCAATCCAGTGAGCCAATCTATACCTACATATATATTCTATTTTTAATATATTTTTACATGATACATTTTGTACTTTAATTTGCTGAGAAATCTGAATAAATTACATTTCTATTTTAACAAAACTACACACATTAATATGCACAGAAATTAGATGCAATATATAGAACTGTTCAGCCTTTCGACCAGGTGAATTGTAAGACGAAACCAGATCTGAAGTTACTTTGAAATTAGGTTGAGCGTGGAAACTGGAATGCTCGTTTAACCCGAACATTAGGGCTAAAGCGCTTTAGTCAGTAGTAATATCAACATAAATGATGGATGTGAATTCCATGTTTCACATCAATGGATACTAATAAATTTTGATATAGTATTTATATAGTTTGTAATAGCACTACTACTACTAATAATATTAATAGTTGTACTTTTTTCTTCACACATTTTTCTAAGTTAGTCTCACACTTACGTTAGACCAGATTTTGACTATTTCATACTTTACATTCATAAAATGCATATTGCATGTACTAATCACATATTTCTGAAACATAACTTTACCCAAAATATAAAACTACTAACTCTTAAACACACCTTTTAGTTACATATGCGTTATATTTTTTAAGATAATTTAGCAGCGCCGCCTATAGTTTAAATATTAAATTAATATTAGTATTTATTTAATTATATTTTATTTATTCAAAATGGTTTCACTTTAAGCACATGACAACTAAAGTGCTAAAAATCTACCAAATTTAAAATTATAAAAAGAAATTAGGACATCTAATAAAAATAAAGTAATTAAATATATCAAATCATATAGTGCATGAGAGAGTTAATTATCTCATTACAAACAGGTTTTTTTGGTGTGTTTTCAAATTCGAAAAAGAAGCTCTTGCACATATGCAAATTTTGATAACAGTGTTTGGTTTTATTTTAAATGATATTATTTAATTCAGATTCTGTAGTTATTTGAACGTGTACATTGCCTTAAATTTGTTCAACGCTACACAAATTAATGAAATATCCCAAATAATTTTTACCTCTTATACCTGTCACGAGGTTAAAATTCGGAGTTCGATCCTCGCGGTGAGAACAGCGCAGACACTCTGTTGGGCAGCTCTGCGCTTAACCACAAGCAAGGTCAAATTTCACCCGAATATTAACATAAACGCCTTTTTATGAAAGTTACATGCTGAAAATTGTCGAATAAATTTATTTGTTTTGTGTGTATATATTTATACATACGTGATACTAATTATTTGTAATGAACCGATAAAACTACGGATTTATTTATCATTAGTATTTGAAAGATGTTAGCATACATCACTTATGCCTTAATTACGACAGAAATGAGTAGTTTTACAATCAATTTTCCGTTCCACATTTGTAAAGCTCCTGAAGTAACTATACAAAAACTTTTTTTGTTTTTTCATTTTTAGTCGTTACAGTTTTTCAACACTTTACGAATTTTCTTATTTTGTGGCTTGAAGTGCTCAAACGTCACGAATTTGGTCTGGTGTACAAACTTGCTCGTCAGACTGTATGGTTTGAATTTGGTGTGGTGTACAAACTTGCTCGTCGGACTGTATGGTTTGAATTTGGTGTGGTGTACAAACTTGCTCGTCGGACTGTATGGTTTGAATTTGGTGCGGTGTACAAACTTGCTCGTCGGACTGTGTGGTTTGAATTTGGTGCGGTGTACAAACTTGCTCGTCGGACTGTATGGTTTGAATTTGGTGTGGTGTACAAACTTGCTCGTCGGACTGTATGGTTTGAGCTTCTTGATAGATGTCATCAGAAGAACTGGAATGGTTTATTGGGAACCCCGACTCTTCTGAACAATCTAGCAGAGGAAATAAATTTATATAAAGAACCAAATCTTTCCAGTATGTATAACCACTCGTGTTTTGGGTAAGAAAATGAGACTAAAGTGTTGGATGAAACAATTATTGGCAATCATCTCAAATATTCATTTTATCGAGGAACATAATTCATGAAGTTGCAGAAGTTTTCACGAACGTGGAGATAATAAAACTTAAAAACTACTAGTGTTTTAAAAATAAAGGCATCAATTTTTCTAGATAATATTTTTGCCAAAACTAACACTAAATCGCATAAGTTGCGTTGGGCATTTTGTACTGAATTTCTAGGGCATGACTGACACCCAGCACGAACACCAGGTTGCTTGGATTAATTAAAAGGTTTTCCACTAGTACATTTTCTCAGATACCTATGGGTAATATGATTTGGAGTGAATCAACGAGCACTTAATAGGATTGTTTGTTTTTCTACACAAGTAGATTTGATTTGTTTTTTTTTATTATTGTTGTTACTGATAAAAAGTCTATAATCCAAAACAAAATACATCGGCCAGTTGTTGGCGTACCGGCATCGGATCAGGAGGTTCAAGTTTCGAGCCACGATATGATGCTTAATACTTAGCACTTTCAGCTATGGGCGAGTTATAACTGTAGCAGTCGATCCCACTAGTTGGTTAAGAGTAGCCACACACGGTTATCTTCCTCCTGGTCAGTAGTTCTATGTCTGAACTTTGGGATCTCTGATCTGACCGTTTAGCCAATATGACCCGTAAATTACCATCAAGGTTAAAATATTCGTTCGGACCTAAAAGGCAAGCAAATACTTGCCTATTTATACAGTTTAAAACAATAACCCGATTACCATTAGTAACAGTCACAAGAGGGAAGCCGACGCATAAGAGTTTGTTGAATTTCGCGCAAGACGACTCAAGGACTATCTGTACTAGCCGTCCCTAATTTGGAAGCGATAGACTAGAGTAAAGGCACCTGGTCAACAGCACCCGCCAATAACGTTTGGGGCTATTCTTTTACCAACGAATAGTGGAATTGGCCGTCACATTAACACCCCCACGGCTGAAAAGTCGAGCACGATTCTAACCCGATACCCATGGGCGCCCGCTGGAAGGAGCAAGAGGGGACATTTGCCTTCTTACATTTTCCCCAAAATTGCACGTATTATGATGTAAGCTTAATATCGTAGTTAAACTAAATATTTTTATTAAAGCTGTAAATTTATGTTTGCATCTAAGCATACATAACACATATTATTTAATCTGTTGACTTACACTGTAAAACTTAATCCCCTACATACATGTTTTGCCCCCCCCCCCCCCCGAAAATATTTCTGTGGTCGCCCATTCCGTTACCCACAGATTGCAAGTTAGTACCCTAATTATCAGGGCCTGTCAGGCCAACATGAGAAAAGCGCAGTCTCTGCTATATGTCCCAAAGTTACAAGTCAACCTGCTAATTGGACGCAGTCCTATAGAAGGTGACTTGCCACAGATACTTTAGTTAAGTTCTGCTCTATTTAAGATACTGCTACATACGTTTCCGGGCATCCAGTTAAAAATAAAATTAAAACTACGTTTTTCATTCCTATTTCCGTCAATAGATGACGCAGTCTTGTAACTTTCTTTTTTTTTAACATTTGTATGTGTGTTTGTCATTAAGGACAAAGCTACACGATAGGCTATCTGTACTGTGCCTACCGAAGGTATCGAGACCCAATTTTTGGCGTTATAGGCCCTAAGATTTACCGCTGAGACCACCGTGGGGCTGGATCACACAATAATATGTCATAACACTAACGACACAACTTACTTTACAATACTAGATTAATATGGATAGACAATACCATTATTTACTGTGCTATCCAGTGTTTCCTCGGTTACTTCAGGTAGTCCTGTTGTTACATCAAGGTCGTTGCTAAGCTGAAATACAGAAATCATGAACCTTCGTATCTCAGTGACACAATACGTTATGTTACTTAACTGTTATAAGAATGTTGCCCTCAGCAAGAGATTGAAAAGTTGAACGACACTTTTAGTTGGAAAAAATCCAAAAAAGGTAGTTAAAAAAAAGAAAAGACATGAGTTTCGTTTATTATACGAACAGCCTGCATAAACAGGTACATTAGTTCTATAAAGTTATCGGATATTTCACTGTCTATAAATCTGACATGATACATTAAGTGAGATTATATCAGACCGCCTATGATTGGTCGAACATGTTACTGTCATTTCTCTGTTGTTTTTTTTTACTCTGGTTAAAATTAGTCTACTGAACAGAACTATCTTTTACAGAATTAATAACGATTAAAAATCCATTACAATATCACTTATAGTTTAAATCACCAAAACAACTGTAATCTTACTTTGAGGAGATTTCTAATTTCTTGCTTTTCTTCTTTTTCTATAAAAACTTGGACTGTTTTTGTACATTCTGTAGCTATAATCTTGTCTTGACATACAACCTATAAAATGTTTCACTGAATATAAAACATTTTTATCTAAATAACGGGTTCCTCAAAACGATAACATCTTGTACCTGTTTTTATTAGCGTGTACACCTTTCGTATCTGACTAACAAATTGTAATGACAATTATTTAAACAGTTTCAGACTTTTACAAAAGCTTTGTTATTTTGTCAGACGTGAACCAGTACTGTCATTTTTCAAGAAAGCTACATTTCTGACAAGTTTAATAAACAGAATGGGGCCACTAACAGAAAATTATCATTTCCCCCTGAACAGAGTTAAAATAGGCCCCAATTATAACAAGTCTATTTAACTAACAGGGTGATCAGCTTTAGAAGTCAGTTGCCATAGACAGCAGTGGACACCGTCCTTTACAAGAGCTTAAGAGGATAAAATGTTTTTCCTGACAAATAAAGAGTGGGTTTGAATTTTCGTTTTTTTTTCTCGGGGGGTCAATGTACGGGTAGAGCTTTAAAAAAAACCAAATGATCCTTTATTGTCTTTAACGTTTTGTTAAAATCTTTCATTGTACGAATCAGCTTTTAAATATCACAAGTAATAAAACCTTATAATCTACTGTTTTGGATCGAGTACACAATGTGATAATTTAATTTTATTAAGCTTATACACTTATCATGACGTAAGTTCCAAAAATATTTTGTAAACAAAGAATGAACACTTTTGGCTGTCCATAAAGGCATTCCAGATATATTTGTGATAGCTTATAGATAATATATGTGTATATTTTTTAAATTCAACGCTTAGGAAAACTGATGACCATATCTACCTTATAAATACCTACTATGTATTTTTGTTTTAAATTATTCTAAAGTCATCAATTATCCTGAAGTAATAAGATTTTTTCATTATCTGTTTTTGTACCTTCATTATTGTCAGTGGTTAAAATACAGAGGTATATTTGTGCCATATTTTGAAATTCTATCGAAAGGTTATGACTTTCTCACCAACTGTTAGTTTTCGTAGAATTTACAATAATTAGAACCAAGTACCGTAATGGTGTTAAAGTTGTTAAAACAAGTGAATGACCGTAAGCTGTATGAGAACGGTAAGTTATCACATAGTCTAAAATGTGTTTTATGTTCGACAGCCAAGGAGCTGATGTTGGTTTAACTAAAAACTGGATAAAAATGGTTTAACGGGTAGCTCAAAAAACAACGTTTCTCACCTGGAATTTGCGCACTAGTATGTGCACGAGGACGGGAAGACATATTAAACCAATTATCAACTGGGCAATGTTGTTCTTCATAGGATTTAATTGTGTAACAAAACCACTAGTGGTCTTTAGAGTAGTTAGGATGTTGATTGCTAAAGTATAAGTCCGGGCAATAGCTACGTCACAAAGCTGCCAGCCAGCTTCTCGTGCTCTTCTGAGTAAGTCGTGAATTAGGGAATAATAGCTTTGTAGTCGACTCGGGGGGTCTTGAGCGGGCACATTCCACGCTAGAAACTGAGGTAACCAAGATGACCATTTCCTCAATGATGACGAGTCTGTACGTTGAGTTGAATCTTTCACGGAGAATGATTTTATGTTGAAAATGATATTGTCTAGAAAACCTCTAGATGGCGTTGCACAATCATCGGAAGATCCAGAAACTTTGCATCTTAACCAAACCATACCGTCGTAGAATCGTTGGGATAACCTTTTCTCATGTACCTCTTGTGGCTGCCACAGCAGATTGGCAGCGTTTGTTCGTAAGCGTCTGATACTTTCGAAAATATAATTTATAAAATATGTTAGATCATTCTGTAAATCTAAACTAAGCAATGCACTTCGGTCTCGGAGACTCCTTGTATGAGAAGAAAATTCTAGATCAAAACAGAAAAGTAGATTTGATATAAAAACACCATATTAAACCTACTAAAATACAGTGACAAAATATGAATTAAAAGCAAAATTCATAGACGGTTATATATCAGTTATTTTACAGGATTTGTTAATTGCTCTCCATCCAAAATCTGGTTGAAGAAAATAATATATATAGTTTAGAAACTTCGAATATAATCAAATATATAAGTCTATAGTATTAGGCTTATTGTATTTTCAAATACTTCATTCTTTATTTGGTCTCTTAAGGTATTTTTTAAGAAGAGTGTATAATAGTATTTCAACCACACTATGCCCATCATATCCACTGTCGTCGAAGTGTTTGGCTCAATACTAGGGTTCGTAAGGCCGGCTAGGATAGAACAAACATAGTAGTAGTAGTTGAAACACTATTTATGTAAGCCATTTATTAGAATAACAATTGTTACAGTATGAATGTCTTTCCGAAACAATTAAGCCAACTATTAGATTATTTAGATTTCAAAACGTACATGCGCATTGTTCCCAATAGAACATGTAACAAATCATTGTGAATATAGTCAACTGGAAAGCTTCCATACCTTGACGTGCAAACAACACTAAAATATTATACACTACACGAGTGCAGAATTTAAATAAAATGAGGGGATGAAGATACTTTGTTGAAACAAACAAATAAAAATATCAAATATATGTTTTGTTTACTTTGTATTCCTTTGCTAATAAATAATGCAGATGAAAAATTAGTCGAAACACAAACTAAGAAACAATAATACAAAAGTTTTCGGAAGGTAGGCTTTTCTTAACTGGGAAGTGAAACATAGTACTTACTATTTTTACCTTCTTCGTTCCCTATATTTGAACCAATCAGCCCATGAGCTGGGTGTGCACTTCTCAGTATAATAAAAAGTACAGATGCTGTTTAAGAAATAAACAAGTAATTAATAATAGCATATACAATGCGAATATAAAAAAAGAACCACTGTGTAATACTATTATTTAACTCTGCTTACGGCGCTCGACTTGCAGCCTGCAAGTGGCGGGATAGAACCCCGTCACCAAAGATGTCCTTTAATGGTATTGTAATGTGGCGGATAATTCCACTATTCGTTAGTAACGAGTAGTCCAAAAGGTAGTAGTGTGTGTGTGATGTCTATCACTTCTAAATTAGGGACTGCTAGCAGATAGCCCTTAAGTAGCTTTGCGCCAAATTCAACAAACAAATAAACACTCTACGAATATAGCTAGGTACCAACATATTATGTCGAAGATATGTAACGTAAGACCAGGACCAATTTTAGGGACATCTACACCCCTTGTAAGAGGAAAGTTAGGCTTTTTCTAGTACGTTACCAGAAAAAGCTAAAATAATTAATTCGATTTATATCCGTAGACAATCAACACTTACATCCATTTTCCCATTCACCATTTCGTATCGATAAATTACAGTGAAGTGTCATGGGAACAAAAGTTGACATCTAGAAGGCTTAGAAAAAGTGCAAGCGTAGACTCAGATCAGTATACAACTTTAAAGTTAGTTCTCGTGTCTTTTATGTATTAGGCCTACCCAAACGCTTAAAGAGCATAGTTGTTTTTACAAGTCCCACAGACTTTCGATTAGGAAAATAAAAATAAGATAATAGAAATTCATTTAAAACCGAACATTGTAACATATTACGTTTACAATAACAAACCCGAAAGTACCAGTAAAATACATAGAGAGTAAAGGGGTTGTTGGCCTTTAAAAAGAGCCCCATATTTAAAATTCTTGATAATTAATAAACTTCTTAATTAGTCTTTTATCTTTTAAGGTCTAAAAGATTGTAGTATGACTATAAGAAATCAATGAGATTGGGATTCCAAGATGTATAGCCCCACCCTCTCCCGAAGTTACAAACTAATATAGACACAACAGTATCAGTACTGTGTATTGAATTCTTCATGTTCTCGTTGATTAACAAACCTAAACATTAATGTTAAACATGCGTAGTTGCGTTTATACAACTTACAAGAGCTATCGTTTCATGTACCGGGTTTAAGTTTATGCTTAACAGCAGCATGATAATTCATATATGTATATCCAATCAGCACTAATATTGTAGAATTATTTGCCCTAGGCATAATAGAACTAACTGTTTCATCATTGTTATGTTATGACAACTAAGTTTGACTAGCTAGGGTGTGTCTAAATGTTTTAGCAAGAGCACCAGGCTAAAGATTAGAAGCTAACATAACAAATAGCATGACTGCAGTTTTAACTTTCAGTAGAACAGACAGTAAAGTGCAAACTGATAGTATAGTGTTTAGGACAAATATTATACAATTAGTAGCCTTTAAATAAATATTTGATTATTTCAACTATTTCTCTAATTTTAAGTGACAAAAAAGGTAAGTTTCCTCATCTCTTATACTTAATATGGTTTAAGACTTAAACTACGTTGTATCTAACTAAACCAGTTAGCCTAGGCCTAATTAACTATTCCTAGCCTACTTAGGCCTAAACAGTTCTCATTGTTCATTGTACTTGTAATATTATAAACAGTACAAACTCAATTATATTTACCATGCTAAAGACAAACCATATTTAGATACTAGAACTTACATAAAAATAAAAAATAATAGGTTTTATCCATTTTGGCTTATAAAACGGCTACTGTTGGCGTAGGTATATCTTCCATTTTTAAAAATGAAAACAATACCGATAGGCGTCTTGTTTCATTCCGAATAAGTAAAAACAATCATTTTGCTTATTATTTTATTACAAGTTACAATTTTTACAGTAAGGAAGAATATTTAAAAAACAGGTACGACGTTTCGATCATTGGTGATGTCATTATCGTACCTATTTTATAAATAATCTTCCTTGCTGTAAAAGCTGTAACTTGTAAAAAATAATATTTATAATCAGTAAGTAAACTCAAACGAAACTAATCATTTTAATTATTTTTGTATTATTGAATCAGTATTGCATCAATGTTAAGAGAATAATAAGTAGTTATTACAATACATTTGAGAAATAAAAATATTCCTAACTTTCATTAATACTTCTGCCATTAAAAATAATTGTATTCATAATTTATATATTTCAAACATCGATGTAGTAAATTTATATGTTTAATTTTTTCAGTTGTTTAAAAACAGGCGTTAAAGATTTACTACTTGGTTGTTTTCTATATCTTTAGATGACTGTTTACTCTGTTCGACTTTTTAAAATTACAAATATTGGCAGATCACGTCGTAATTATTTGTTACATTTTGGACACATATTTCATGTCGTTGTCATATTATAATCATTGTTTATTAAATGTTGTTCATATACATCTATAATGCAGGACTTTCATATAGTATTTATCATTAGTCCCTCTGTGGATATTCTTGATCGTGCCGTAGTTGTAGAAATATGCCTAATCAGCTTGGTTTTCAGACGACATATCTGTCGCTGTTCGATGCATACGCTATTTGAAACATGATTTGGACAAAAAGTAAGTTTAGATTGTTTAATTATTAAAACAGAAAGTTTCTGTTTTACTATACGTAACGAAACCTTTTTTGAACAAGTCAGTATGAAAAAGTACGAAAATACATTCAGTTAATTTTTTTGCACTTGCACTGGTATTGCTAACTTAGTTTTGTTGTGTTTAAAGCGTAGTTATTTTTATGAAAAACATTAAAATTTATTACAAAAAATTTAACAAGCGATCCCTGACTTAACCCGAGAAGAACACAGTATATTTGTTGAGTTGTTAAGTGGATTTATTCTTCGTTTCGACCGTTTATTTGCATCGTCACTTTAGTCCGATATTTACCTTCCTTAAGAGCTTACTTTTTTTGGGTCGCCCGGCATGG